TAGTCCCGGCAGGGATGATGAGAGGATCGTAGCATCGTGTCGGGGGGAGCGTCCGGGAAGATCTTGTTAAAGCGCGGGAGGTTGAGATGGTTGGTAGCGGTGAGGGGTCATAGTGCATGCCGTTTGTTTGACGCTTTTTTTTTGTCGCACAGTGTTTCAAAGTCGTATGTGTACGTTTCAAAGCGCAGGAGAGCAGGCGTTTTCCAATAAAGTACAACAGATACAGAGTCTCTTCATGCCTCAATAACACATACGTATGGACAGAGACCTGTATAGCTCATACTGAAAACGATACATACACACACACACACAGACACACACAGCTCAAATACGTCCCCACTTTGGTCTCTGACCACTGAGACCTCGTTGCTGTCACATCTGCATGTCCGTTGAACATCTGCGGGTAAGAAATGAGGACATTTTCTGAATTTGACATTGTGAGGTTGTCGTCGACTCTGGACCGATCGTGGCGATTTAGCTCCGCAGTGATAAGACAGACGCTTGGAGAGAAATGTGTGTTTGCGATGATAGTGTGCGATCACTTAAAAGGGGCAATGTGCAAACGGATGATGATGTCACGGCGAGGCAGGAAAATACTGGATCACTTTTTTGTGCATTTAATCTAAAGATTATTTATTTGCTTTTGTTTATCGCCTAATCTTTGTATCTTCTGTGTGTGTGTGTGTGTGTGTGTAGTTTAAGGGTGACTTTGTTTAATTGCCATTGTGGTCGCTGTTAAAAAAGCCAAAAGGCTCCGAACATGAAACTCTCCGTTGAGTCGAGGTCATTTCTTCTTTCCACCAAAACAAAAGAACTTCCTTCTTTGTTGTTGTTTCCCTTTCACGATTAGACGGATCGCGACCTGAATGATTTCACGAATGTTCTCGCTTCATTAACGATGTCGAGCTTTGACCTTAATCGGGGAGAAGGAATCACCGCCGCGGCCTTTTGAGGCTGAACACGAGTGACACACCCAAAAGGAATTAAACTGAAGCAGCCAGCTGTCACACAACGGTTTATTGTTCTGAGCTGCACCTTCTTCTTCCACTGATATGCAAATGACCTTTGTTAGAAGTTCATTGCGACATTCTTTGATCTTCCTGCAGATAAGCACACGCGCACGCACACGCACACGCCAAAACTAGGTCATGGAGTGGCTTGTAATTAACATTGCTTTAAGTTTGATGACACAGGGACTTTTCTTGGGTACATGAGCGGTGAATCAGAGTTCTCCGTGTGTCACTGTGTCACATCTTTTTTTCCTACTCAGACATATTTATTTATATATATACTGCTTTGTATAAGTTGGACCTGCGTAGAAGAGGTTTTCTAATGAAGTGTCCAACCTGGTGACTCACTCCAGGAAGCTTTGTGGCTTAAACGCTTAAACACTTCAACGACAAAACAGATTCTTCCACAAACCACATTGTGTGGTTTATAATGAATACATCTTTACTCAGTAGCTGGTTGAAAAAAAAACTGTCTAATCTATTTTATTTACTTAAATATTGTTTCAAAGCTGGACAAATCATCAATTTGAATTCCAACGTAACTGAAGCGGCCTCTTCAAACTCTTTTTTGATGATATGTGACATTTACATAGATAGATAGACAGAAATATATCGCAGTTTTTCATGTCTTCATTTAAAATAAATTTGGATGATAAAACATTTCCCCCAAATTAAGCCCGGCTACCCGTTGTCGACATCAGATCCCTTTTTTGGCCTCATCTGTCACATGTGGTTGCAAATAAACCTCCACATTTCCTCCCACCAAACCCATCTTTATACACAAAGTTCAATTCCAGACTCACAATTACGCAAATATATTTTGAAGCATGGATTTAGGTCACTCTCACCCACAGCGTACGGTCACACGACCACGTTACGTTCTTAATTTCCTGCCTTTCAGCCGACGATGCCTCTCAACGCCTCCCTCCCGCTGCTCAAGCCTTCAGCGGTGGACGTGGACGCCATCATGGACAACTTCTCCATCGTCCTCTACAGTCTGATCGTCACGCTGGGCGTCTCGGGGAACTCCCTGGTCATCTGGGTGGCTGGATTCAAGCTCAAGGTGGGTTTACGGGCCGGTTAGAAAGAGGAAAAATAACCCGGGAAGCTCTTTGTCCTGTTGGCGTTTTGTTTAAAATGTGTTTAGATTCCCCTTCCCTTCTTTCTTCTTCTCTTCCTCCACCGCAGCCAAAGGTCACCAACGTGTGGTTGGTGAATTTGGCGGTGGCGGACCTCATCTTCTGCGTGACGCGAGCCTTCTCCCTCGCCAAGAAGCTCTTCTTTGACGAATGGCCCTTCGGCGTCTTCGTCTGCAAGTTCAACGGCTTCTTCAAATACGCCAACATGTTCTGCTCCGTCTTCCTGTTGGCGGTGATCAGCCTGGACCGGGTGCTCTGCGTCTGGCGGCCCGTCTTCACCAAGCGGCACCGCTCCCTGTTGGCCGCCAGAGTGGTCGCCGTCTGCGTGTGGAGCGCCGCCACCGTCTTCAGCGCGCCGTACTTCTTCTACCGCCAGGTCTACCAGAAGAACAACCTGACCAAGTGCTCGCTGGAGGTGAAGGAGACCGACAGCGCCGCCAAACTGGTGCTCTACTCCATCCGCTTCCTGTGCGGCTTCATGCTGCCCTTCGTGGTCATCGTGGTCTGTTACACCCTGGCAGGAGTCGGCATCCAGCGCACCCGGCTGGTCGGGAAGTCCCGCCCCCTGCGCATCCTGGCCCTGTTGGTCGCGGCCTTCTTCCTGTGCTGGGCGCCGTACCACTGCCTCCAGCTGGTGAAGATGGTGGACAGCAAGAACGCGGTGGTGAAGATCTGGCACCCTGTGGCAAAGGGCGTGGCCTACTTCAAAAGCTGCGTGAACCCGCTGTTGTACTTCTGCATGGGGCTGGACGTGAGGGGGCGCTTCAGGCAGAGCCTGGCGGGGGTGTACAAGAGGGCCCTGGTGGACGGCGTGGAGGGGCAGGCGACCCAGTCCAACGAGCTGGATGACAGCGGCGTGTCCAAACACACGTCTTTGGTCGCGCCAGGCCGGAGTCAGACGATGGTGGACGTGGCTGAAGTTTGAGTTGGTGGAACACACGGCAGACCTGTAGGTGCAGTGAGATCGTCTTTAGCGGCCTGCAATTGAAATGAAATCACTCACATCTACTTGGATGATTTAGAGGTTTCCGTGGATTAAGGAGACGTTACAAATGCTAAATTAATACAATAAACCTCAAATCGTTTTCTCATAGACTTCTATGGGACGAGAAGAGCCGGCCCCTGGTGGTCAATAGAGAGAATGCAGCTTTAAGACGTGAAGCTTTGACTTTACTTTTCAGACCTGCTGGAACGTTGTACCTGTTTCATGTTAAAAACCTATTTTAACCCAGATTTCCCTTAAATAAAAGCTATTAACAAACTATTTGGGAAAGACAGTAACGGTACTAACGACTGACGAACTAACTGATAGAGGAGACACTCAAGAAAAATGTGACAAAACGTAATGATTGACGTATAATTGACAAATAAGTCAAATAAAAATGTTTACTTTTAGTTCTAGTTGCTTATAGAGAAACAGCTTCTGCTCATCAGCGGCATCACTGCAAGTGAAACATGTGGTTGTTGTTTAGATACATAACTTAAAATATTATTTCCTCCCCAAACTGCTGCAAAAGCGAGACTATTAAAAGGAAAGCCAGTAATAACTTAGGGGCTGTCTTCTGGTTGGGGGTTTCGCTGCTTTTGTTTTTAAATGCATAGTTTTATTTTCTACGGCCAGAGATGAGTAAAATAACTTGTAGAATGTCCCAGTGAGCTCAGGACTGAAGTGCGTTAATGGTTAATTTTACAGGACAGACGTGCATATAAATGACAATAAAACAAAGCATGGAGGCTGTTAGACCATCCCAGTGGAAATCGGTCCTTAGCAACGGGCTCTTAAACCGAGCTGTACTAACTCACTCGTTGCCGGGAAACACCTGCGTGCCTTCGGCCTGTTTGTCCTAAAGTCTCCTCTTTAGCTTCTATTCTTGCAGCAGCAGCAGAGACCCGGTGGATGTTGTGAAACTCGCAATGTTACGCTTTCATTTGTTGCTTCTACCTGTGCTGTTGTTGTAACTTTTGTTAATATGATTATAGCGGAAATGCAATGAAAATAAAAACTTTTCAATGTTGTGGGAATGTTTTATTTTGTGCAAAACAAGGTGCCAAAAAGCTGCAATGAAAAGCTCTCACAGCGTTTTTTTTATTTTTTTTTAGCCCTACCTGATCAGAAGCGGTGAACATTTGAGATAAAACAACATGGTTCAAGTTCACTGACCTTCTGCTTTAGAAACACATGTATTATGAATCTATTAAAAGCTTTCTAGAGAAACCTACGCTAATGATTTTATGATCCTAAATATTTCTGACGTTTAAAGTAGTTCACAGTATTCCAATGAAACTGACAGTCTGGCATTTTAAATGCTCCAATTAAAACAATGGAGATAAGTACGGGTGTGGTCAAATCAGGAGGAAACATTGAAAGAGAGCCAGAGAATATGAAGTACAGTGGATTTATTGGCGATCACATTTCTTCAATTAGTAATTATATTGCACAGATATGAAACAATTTTATTGTTTTTCAGACACCAGTGTTACATACTCTCAAAGGCATTGATTAGAAAGTCCGGATGACAACGATTAACGACATAAACTACACACCAAGATAAAAGACGCTGCCAGTTTTTGCTCTTCACAGCCTTCATCTTCACCTTCATGATTAAAATCCACATTGAGTTGAACGGCCACTGCAGAAGCATCACAACGAAAGCCACGGCCGCAAACTTAGACGCCAGAAAGCCTCATTAATTTCAGTTTCAGTTTTTGACACAACGTGTCCAAAAGGTTTTCGTCAAACCACTTTCTCTTTGAGCTGCTTTTAACATTCAAAACCTCAATCAACAAAGCGAGCTCTTCAGCAGTCAGACAGACAAGGCATTGGATTCGCTGCTATGCCGTTACAGTAGCCGTTGACACACAAACACACACACACACACACGTTGAGGTTCTGCTGTTAATTTGTCTGTTTCTTTTGTCGTTATAAAATAAGAAGATAACTAATCACAAATTGGAATAAGACCCCTAAAGTGCTCTTTTCTGCTCGGTTGTTTGGGCTCATCGGTCACACCAAAGTTCCAGTGTTGAAGCGCCGGCGAAAGTCACCTTGAAAGCTGAGGTCATCGAAGTCCTCGCTTTCTCCGTCAACGATCTGTAAGAAATGCAGGTACTGAGACAGCCAGCAATTACACCGCACCCCGAACGCAACGTCAGGACAACAGGCTTGGGGACGCTTTCTTTGTTCTGAGTTGGCGGAGGACGGGCGAGGTGTGGACCGCCACGCACCACCTGGAGCGTGATCGACACTTCTGTTCTACTTTTGACACTTTAATTGCCCCTTTGTGAAAAGCAGTGCTCTCTCCAATTGTGCTCGTAAAAAAGAAGGCCACACAAATACTGTACATTCTGTAGGATTGGTACAGCGTAACACTTGTGTGACTGTTAGTCACTGAATGTCTTTGTACGATTATAATTATACTTGAGTTAAGTGTATTTCATCATGGAAAATTTGTAGTACCAGCAACAATTAAGACAGCCGTAGCTGTATTAGCAGATGTGGTAGTGGTAGAAATATTACCGAAGTAGTAATAATATATCTACCTTTCTAATTGGCTGATGATGGTTTTGCTTGGTAGACATGGGCTCTGTACTCAGGAAGGCCACATAATGGATCAGGGTGCTCATTCTGGAAAGAAAACCACAGAAGAATTAACTTGGAGAGGAGCAGCAGCTCTTTCTACAGCATGATACATATATACATGAATATAACTCACAAGGGATCGGTTACCTGTGGTACAACATGCCGAAGAACTGGATCACCACCAGTAGGGCGAAGGACAGGATGAACATGAAGCCCACGGGGTCGATGAAGATGTACTCTCCCGTATACTCAAGGTCAAAGTTGATTTTTGGCACCCTGATGAAGACGCTCGAGTCTAATAACTGGAGAGTGAAGGTCACCACGAGCCAGAAGGCGTTGATTATGAAGTAAACGAAGGTCATCTGTTCAAATGAGGATGGAAAGAAAAAGGATCAGTTTGTGTTCATCGTCATGTGATTAAGTTCACCAGTCAGAGACATTTTACCTTGTTTCTCAACTCCCTGAGTTTATTAATCATTATTTCCTGTTTCCCTTTGTCCTCGGGAACGGGCTGCAGGTATTTGCTGGTGAGCTCTCTGAAGAACTGCCCCTCCTCCTGCAGACACATTTCAATAAACGATTTACTTCATTGGTTTATCACGCTGGAAAAGTCACATGTCGCACACCCGTCGCACATGGAAACCAACTGTTTTTTTTAAATAAACACGTGATTAAAGGCGTGAGGCTGAAATACTCCTATAAATATAACAATTCCTATGAGCACAAAGCACATTTAAGGGTACATGGAAAAGTATACATACCAGAACTCTTGACTTCCTTTTTTGATTAAAGAAATAGACCTTTTATAATTTTATATTTTTCATTTCCTAAAACTATTACAGAAGAAAACACAATTGGCCTGTTTGCTGTGATGAATTCCACACGATTGGATCAACAACATTCGCCTTCACGCGTAATCTTTAGACGACAATAGAGACACACAAAAATAAAGATTGTGCACCTCGTCCAGTTTGTCCTCGCTAAGATTCATGTCATTGGATAAACTCTGCAGCTGTGCGACCCAGTCTGAAGAAAAGAGCAAGATAACAGAAAATTACACAACGTGAGTGTGTTGAAATAAGCACATTCTTTCTACCTTTTACCATTTGTGTACCTACTTTGGTGAGGGGGGGCTACAGTGGTGCTTCGCCTGAAACAAAATCACAGGCAACAATTAAAAACAGTGTGTTGTGGTCGTTGTGTGAAGATAATAAAATACACACGTTATGGTGTAATCATTACATTACATTACAGGTCATTTAGCAGACGCTTTTATCCAAAGCGACTTACATTACACTTTAAACCCATGGCTTTTTCACATTTTAGCCCGGGGAGCAATTAGGGGTTTAGGTGTCTTGCTCAGGGACACCTCGACATGGAACATGGGGCAGCCTGGAATCGAACCAACAACCTTGTGCTTTCCAGCACACCTTCTCTAACCCCTGCGCCACAACGACCCGACCCAATCATTGGCCGTGTGAATGGATAAAATACTGAAACACACACGTATCCATTGACGAGACAGTCAATCGTTTGGTTACCTCGGCTGCTCCTCAGGCCGCCCCGCCTCCTCCACGATGGTGTTCTGGGGTCGAGGCTCGGGCTCCTCGCTCGGGACGTCCCGGCTGAGGATTCGCTCGTCTGCTGCGTCCGTCAGACACAGTCTCCTGCAGCACTTGGACCGCGAGAAGAACCGCGCGATGGTGCTCCGGACTGCGAACGAGAAGGAAAGTAGTAGTATTATTATAACTCGAGTCACACCTGTTATTTACTACTATTTACTATTTAATACGCAGTAGTTTAATGTTTGGAATATGAGTGCCTGTAATACTTCATCGCCCCCAAAGAGTGCGCATTGCTCCACGGCAGTAACCTGCAGCGCGCCGTACCTTTCTCGGCTTTGGTTTGCGAGGCGGCCTGGTCTCTGGCGGCAGGCGCCGTCTCCCTGGTGCCCCAGGACACGTTGTTCATGTTGACCATGGAGTAGATGGAGAGCAGCAGGTAGGCGCTGGGGATGCAGATGATGTAAATAAAGCCGTAGAACACCAGGCCAATCTCCTGAGGGTGGAGCAATGCAGTGATGACGTAGAAGAGGGCGAGGAAGATGAGGAAGAGACTGCTGGGAGTCAGGATGGTTTGGTCCTTCACCATGGTCCCTGACGGAGGAGGAGGAGATGGAGGAGGACATGAAGTTGCCGCAAACCTTTCTGAGTGAACAGCACCGGTTTGGTGTTGAGTGTGTACCTATTATGGTGATTGCCGATACCATCATGAGGAACGCGTACAGGATGCTCAGGATCGCAGCAACGAGGATCTGAGTGTCCGCCTTGATTCTGAAGCTGGCGCCGAGGAAGATAGCTGGAGGTATCACAGCCAGGACCAGAGAAACGTTCTGGTGAACATCGAGCAGCACAGTCAAACTACCTGGAAGGCCGTCAGGAAGCAAAGAAGAGCTGGTTTAACGGACAGATGATAGATGAGCGCGTGATCTTCTCTCCTAAACTCAAACTCAAAAGTATCTATTCAGATTCTACGCACTTCAAATGAAAATATACATGAAAACAATTAAAAAAGTTAAAAAAACTTATTTTGGTCCAGCTAAGCTTTTTTTTACTGGCTGAAAAATAAGAAAAAAACAGCCTGACCTGCGATCATAAGGATGACGGTGGAAGGTGCCAGAATGGACGCCACCAGGCTGATGAGCTGGTACAGCATGTAGACCTTTGAAATGGACGTGTTCTTCTTGGAGATCACAGTGGCACAGCCCAGCAGGTCCACCATGTTGGCCATAGTTGACGGCCCCCAGCGGCGACGCTGACAACGGCAGAAAAACCAAACATTAGCACCAATTATCACTGTTAGAAATGGTGACCATTATTCATGCAGCTTGTTGTAGCTGAGTGTATAAACAATTAGATTAAGATGTGTCATGGATAATTATAATTAAACTCAAGCTGGATCTGGTCCTTGCCAAGAGTGTTGCCAGAAACATTTAAATACCGTATTTAGCATTTGATAACAATAACATTACATTACATTACATTACATGTCATTTAGCGGACGCTTTTATCCAAAGCGACGTACAATAAGTGCATTCAACAAGGTGCAACAGGAAGGATTTCAATTTTTTTTTTCTTGCGCAACAAAAACTTCTTCATTCTCTCGACTGGAATTAGAATTTGCATTCACATGTCGGCAACTGGGACTGATCATTGTTTAACATCCCCGACATGCCTCAACGACACTTTAGGGCTGTGAACCTCAGTGTGCCGGAGGGCCCGCTCGCCCTGCCCAATTTAGATTGGCTGAGAGCCAATCTAAATTGTGCCACGTCGGGTTTTGAGTCCCATGGAATCACCTGGTTGTAAAACTCTTTGAAGTCTTCCGGGGCGTTGGTGTGGGCGTCCGAGGCCGCGTTGTACTCCACCCTCCAACCCTGCTTCAGCAGCAGAGTGCACAGCCAGCGGTCCTCTCCTGCAGAGACCGTCACAGAGTCAAATCTTCCACCGCTTCCCACCACATCCGCTGGGTTTTGTGACTTCCATCCGTAATTGGTGCGAAATGCGGAGGCCAGCCGGGCGCTCCGGAGACGTACCTTGGTCGTACTGGATGTAGTGTTGCGCCTGAGAGGACACGGCGGTGTATTTCTTCATCACGTTGTCGTCCATCAGCGCCTCGGCTCTGAACAGGCTGAAGCAGCCGGGGCTGCAGAACACGCAGCCGAACACGTGCTCGGCCGTCTTGTGAAGCCAGTGTCCGACGGCGTATTCAAACTTCTGGTACCAAACGACGGGCCCTGCCAGAGGAATACACAGCTGGTTACTACATGGTACACACTAAGCGCCCGGCTCAGACGGGTGTTAAAAACATTCCTGAGCAACATTCATCCTTTTAACACAAAATAACAGAACATACACAGTGCATATGTTCTACACGGCCATCATGGAGTCCATCCTCTGCTCCTCTATCACCGTCTGGTACGCTGCAGCCACAGCCAAGGACAAGGGCAGGCTGCAGCGCGTCATCCGCTCTGCAGAGAGGGTGATCGGCTGCAATCTGCCGTCCCTGCAGGACTTGTTCGCTTCCAGGTCTCTGAAGCGAGCTAAAAAGATCGCGGCCGACCCCTCCCACCCCGGACAAAAACTGTTTGTGTCTCTTCCATCTGGCAGGAGGCTGAGGTCCATCAGGACTAAGACCTCCCGCCACACCAACAGTTTCTTCCCGTCGACAGTCGGGCTCATCAACAGAGCCGGTCTCCCACTGCCTGACTATAACACTCCACCGGTCACTCCCCTTCACACTGCACATGCCACTTTAACTGTTATTCATCACTTTGTCGTCACTCGTCACTTTGTTACTTGTTCGTTAGTGCACTTTATGCTTAATATTTTTTTTAATAGGGTTAGGGTTAGTACTTATTTAGAATTTAAAATTTTTAACTTTATTCCCTTGTTTTATACTAACCCATAGCCTTATTCTACTTACCCATTGCATTAGAATTTCATTTTACTTTATATTATTACTTGTGCACTGCTGTCTTGTCTGTCTACTGTCGCGCACCAACCGCCAAGACAAATTCCTTGTATGTTTGGCATATTTTGGTAATAAATGTTCCTGATTCCTGATATATATAGTTTACTTTTTATTGTATCTATTGTTCTGGTTTTGTTTCCTTTTATATGTTTTGCCATCCATCATCAACCATTAAATCCATCCAGATTCTGGCTTGTTAGTTTAGCTTCTTCTGAACTAAATATACATTTTATTCTTGTCTGTTTTTCTGACTGGTCTGACATGAGTTTGCATTGACTTCATTGATGATCAGTCATCGGTCTCGTTGTGTCCAGCTGTACTCTAATCCCTTACGACCCACCTGAGCCGGTGGGGTGAATCCGGCCGCAGGCCGCCCCGACCTGCGGGTACAGTTTCAGGCGATCGATGAGCAGCATCACGGCGGCCGGCGTGAAGTCTGTGTCCCCATCCAGAGCCAGGATGTAGGTGTTCTTCTTCTCCCTCTGGAGGAACAGACGCAGTTTGCTCCGTCACACATTTCATATACACAGATTTGGAAATATATTCATTGTTTTATGGCCGTTTGTTTTCTCTCGTCTTACCTCAAACTCATTTTTCACCTCAACATCCTCCTCCCCTTTCCCCCACCTTTTGAAATACTTGGTTGAAACTTTCCATCCCAGGAGATAGTACAAGTACATGACCTGGAGAATACCACATGCAGTTCAGTAAACTCACTCTGACAGAGCAACCCTGTCACCGAATAATGAACTACTACATGACGGGAGGGTTCTGATCACCTGGGACCATCTCTTCTTGTGGCGGATGAGCTTCTTGTTCTTGTAGTGAACCGTTAAGGTGTTCCCATGTGGCATGGTGACTACCAGACGTCCTCCATACGGCGTTGCCACAATCGTCTGATCCGGGATCTGCTGCTTCTTTGTGAAGAGGTCGTTATTGATGTTCAAGAAGATGCTGACGACAGAAGAAAACATGGTTCATCTTCACTTCTCGTCAGAATCTCTTTCTTTTTCTTTAAATCAAACTTTTACCTGTAAACTTCTGCGATAATGTTCACAAGCATCTCAGCGTACTGGTTGACGTGGGCCCCCCGGCTACCGGCAACATCTGTGAAGGCGTCGTCGAAGAAGATGTGGCCTTCAAACGTGACATCGCCAGCTTCTCCTTCCTTCTTTGGCCTGTACTTGTCCAGTCTGTGGAGGTACAGGAACCACGTTAAGCTCCCGGTACCATGTTGTTGTTGAAGTTGAAGTTATTTCAACATTACATAACATCACATAACATTACATCACATGTCATTGAGCTGACGCTTTTGTCAAAGCAACTTACAATAAGTGCATTTCAACCATAAGGATACAAACCCAGAAGAGCATCAAACAAGTGCAATTTCATCACATAAGCCAATTTACAACTTGTTATAGATAAAAGCCATTATAAGTCAAATTCAGTGTTTTTATTATAACATTGTAGAGACATCTTGCTGAATGCATTTTAAAGTCCGTGGGTTCCCTTATGCTTCAAAAGTGAAACATACAGGTGATGAAAAACATGCACATTGTAAAGAAACGACCTGGCTCAGTGTAGATTCAGATAATTATTCTAGTGCCAAGTATTGAGCGGTTTAAGATGGAAAACTGAACATAAGGAGGTGAACGCTTAAACACCAGCGTGTTTAACCCATGTAAAACTTACCGAAATATGGAAATGAGGATATTCATCATCTCGTCGGGCGTTTCGTGCCACATGGTCGCGCAGAGGAAGACTTTCACCGGGTCTAGTGATTTGAATCTGAAAGGACAAGATTTGCATTACCGAAATTAATTCTGTCTCTTTCGTCCTTCACACGTCTCTGGGTTTCTGTTTTATAAAAGAAGATGCGGTCAACTGGATTCGTTTGCATTGTGAATGTTTCAGAAATGTTCAGAAATGAAATGGAAATGATTCTATTGTGTAACATCCTCATCTTGTTTGAAACAACATGTTGATGTGCAAAAGTTGTCCTTGTTAGACAATGTCAATCCAGTTTTGACACGTTGTTTTTCACCCATGTCACCTTTTAAATGTCTACTAATTCATTCTTATGATTGTCATGCTCATTGGTTGATTGTGGGATAAACAGTAATTACGCAGCTTCTTTTGCTTTAGCCTTTGTGTGAAGGCCCGGGCCACTCCTATGAAATAATTGGCCCTCAAATATGTGATTATAGATTTCAAATAAAAGATGAGGACCTAGAGGAGAAAAACAAAACAACTGACTAACCTTTTGTTTTTCACGCTATTTTATTTTAGGATAATGTGTTGCGCAGCAGAAAGGAATGTTTGGACTTGAACAACGTTTATTAAAGGAAAGGGGAGGAGTAGATCATCCACAACAATTCCTGTCTCAAACTAGCCACAAGAACCCTTATCACACCTTCTAAACCCTTAAAGGCCCCCAGGCCCCCTGACATCACAAACACACACACTCACTGCTTTTGCTTTTCCGTCGTCTGGATGTCAAATCGAGTGTTCAGAAGCAGGGACTGCTCTATGAATGCTCCCTCGTAGAGCCTCCTGACGAACAGGTCCTGAGTCCTCTGGATGCGAAACAGACTGAGGAACCAGAGGTGCAGAGTGGCCAAAACCAGGCCGATGCACCAGCACGCCGCCGAGCCTGAGGAGCGGGAAAAGAAACGAATTAAAGTGGAAACGGTACAACTTAAAAATGCCTGTCTGAATATATGGTGCATCTCTAGATTATTACCTGTCAGCAGGCCGATGTCATATATCCTGGACAAGTCCAGGAAGCACAGAGTGTGAGTGACGTCCCGAACCAGATCTGGGAACACGTTGCCGCTCAGACTTTGGTTTCTTGCATCCACAACGTCGTTGCAGTAGCCTCTGAAGTTGGAACTTTGAGTCCCGTTCAAACTGTTTCTGTAGTTTTGATGGAAAACAATAACTGGGACGACGAAGAGGACCATGGCGGCCAGAGACGCCAGGTACAAAGGCAGGATGAAGCATCGCCGCATGGCGTGCATCTTGCAGGCCACCAAGGAAAACCAGTGGCAGAGTGCGGAGGAGATCAGCTGGACTCCGATGATGATGCCTATAATCCTTGTCTCACGGCTCGGGATGGAGGTGACGATGGCCCAGTCCATTTTGTCCAGAGGGACGTAGGCTCCGAGCACGCCGGCGGTCACCGCGATCCTGAGCAAGCTGGAGAGGATGTGCAGAACGTTCTGGCACTCTTTCACGTCTATACACAAGACTTCAAGGAAGCCAGGGTTGCTTTTCTCGCTGGTCTGCCGGTTCTCGCTGATCAGCTTGAAGTAGTTCTCCCACCAGTTAAAAGACATCAAGAAGGACCCTCCGACTGCCAGACCCGCCCAGATGTTCCTCCGGGTGTCAGTGGGATCCTTTGTGATGTACAAGAGGAGGAACAGCACGTAGCCGAGCAAAATGAGGAGGAAGGCGGTGATGGACGGCACCAGGAAGCGGTTCCTTTGCTTGGCGGTGCACTGCGTGATCACCTGCAGGAGCGTGGAGAGCACGGCTACGCCGTTCAGTATCGTCACGTTGGTCACTATGTCCAGGTGGGGCATTGCCACAATGGTGAGAATCGCTGCACCCATAGCCACCAGGAACTCAAAGAACAGAACCTGAAGAAGCAGAACAATTAATTGTTGCACATTTTCTTTTTTAAAGGAGGGTTTCGGCTATAAATCCGACATTATTAGCATCCGTTTAGCTTTGACACGGCCGAAACATCTTGTATTGAATTGTCCCTGACACGTGCAGAATGTGCATGCTTCTCACCAAAGCCACAGTTCTTTTGTCCGGCATCTTTGAGGATTTGTGACACGCCTTCCAGACGCTCTTCAGCAGGAGAAGCAAGCTGGAGGCGATGAGAACGCAGCCGATGCAGAGCAGGGCGACGGGTTTCTGTCCATCGGGGAGAGTCTTGGTGCCCTCGTTAGACAAAGTGACGAGGAGGAGGAACGACGTCTGGAACAGAGAGATCGAAAGTCAAAGCTCAAAGATGAGAAGTTATAAGTGAGCTCTTTTTACAAAGGGAACAATTTTTGCAGTTTAAACGCATTCACATTACAATTCCGCTCCGATTCCTCGAGCTCAGCAGATTCATTCTTGTAACAAGTTGTGTGGAACGAACCTTGCTACACAGAGCCAGTCCGAACACCAACACGGCCACCACACAGAGGGAGAGGACCTTCAGCAGCTTGAGCATCTTCCATGGCGTCCGCTCATCCTCCAGGGGGGGGACCTCTCGGCAGGCGTCCCACGACCTCCTGAACAAACACAGCCGGAGGGAAACTTTGAACGTTGAACTAAACGCTTGGTTCTGCGTGTTTGCGGGAGATCGTTTTTTTTCTATCTCCAGGTAAAAATGTAGTACATTTTAATTAAATTAATTACACATCGTTTTTTTTTAAATTTAATGTTCAAACCTGGATGACAAAAACTACGTTGTTGCATTAAGTTCAAAGTGATACATTTTAGAAGCACAAATGTAACAGAATAAAATGATCAATCGACTGCATCAAACCCCAAAAATCCATGAAATGGAGCTTTGACGTTACCTAATTTACTCACAATCGCTGTTTGGTTTTACCACAAGTATAAAACAAAGGGGTCTGGAGGTGTTGATTCCAAATTCTTTTAAAATACCTTTAAACTTTGCTTCATTCTGGATAAACTGAAGCGCCAGTAGTGCTCCCGTGTTTTCTGTATTGCCTTCAGATATTTATTCCGCTGTAGATCAACTTCTTTTATACAATGTCACACCTGTTGGGTCACGGAGTAGTGATGCACTGTTTTCCGCACAATAAGGCGCACCTTCAATGAATGACCTATTTAAGAACATTTTTCATATATAGCGCGCATCGGATTATAATGCCCATAAGATACTGCAGTCTCCGCTTCGGCTCCAGCTCGGCCCGCCTCACCTTGGCGGGGGCCGTCGGGCCGCGACATGGCCGCACGGTGCAGATTCTCGTCTCCTTCGGCTGCTCTCCAGCCGCGCCGCCTGCCAAGGGCCCCTTTTAGAACTACTTATTTTCCCCGTTAAGATGGTTCAGCTACTGTAGAGAAAAGGACGCCGTCTCTCGCTCTTTAATCTCATGAAGTGCTTGGCGAGAACGACAGCTTCGTTTTTCCGACGCGCCCTGAAAGCAGCTCCACATCTCACGCGCTTGAGCGCCGCTCAAGTGCGCCTTGGAGTGCGGAAAATGCGGTATATTTACTTTAATACTACAAGAGGGCGCCGCGTTTGTTGAACAACGACAGGCGGACAAGAGCAGCCGTTTCGAGCGAGAGCCTTATTGCTTTATTAATCTGTCCGTTTAAATTGTTTTTGCTTCATCAACTAATGTTTCACATAACTAATGTGCCGCATCATAAATATTTTGATATTAATTTCAAACTTTTAAAAATTGAAAATTAAAAACATTTTATTTATTTATTGTAAATGACCTCTCGCGGCCCACCTGCAGTACCTTCGCGGCCCACCAGGGGGCCGCCGCCCACACTTTGGGAATCGCTGTTTTAGATAATAAATATTTGTAGGGACGATTATTCCCTGCGGTAGTACCACAAAGTACAAAAACAAAAAAAGCCTCAAAAATAACTGTTTGAATCGTGAATATGGAAAAGATTAAAATTCTTTACATAAATAGTTACAATTTTTATTTCACAATCTCCTTTTCAATATAGAAGAAAATTATATTAAGAAAATCCAATAAATAAAGCGTTTCCGCCAAAATGTTCATGCAGTCAGTTCAGAATTAACTGGTTGACTTTTCATATTTCAAGCAAGTAATCAAATAAAATGAATCAAATTAATTAAAAAGTTTTCATTAAAGAGTCTCCACTCACTTGGGTAAGTTCCTTTCGTCCTCCATGCTTCTGACGAATGTGAAGCCTCCGCTTGAGAGTTGTTTTATAACAACTTTTGAAAAACACGGTGTTCAATCACCACACCGGTAAATCATGACATCACAGCTGGAGGCAGAGCTTCCGCTTATCTCGCTTTCAGAACGTGATGGATTGCAGACAGTCCTGAACTTCAGGCTGTGTTCACAGTACTTTAGGTAACGCTTTATATTAAGGACCTTGTAATAACAATTAATTAATAGGTAATAAGGCCCTTGTAAGTCCTTACAAGATGCCTATATAAGTGTTAATAATGGCATTATAATACAATTATTAGCAGGCTATAACACATTTATAAGCATCTTTGCTAAGACCTTATTAATATTTTTTGGTTTGCTTATTGATATTAAAATATACTTTATTGTACTACTACTACTACTACTATTGTAATACTAAATATCTATTATGCGTTAACTATGCACTTGTTAACAGTTAACTATGCTTTTAGCAGCTACCGGATCTAAAGCGAGAACAAGCCTTATTGAGGCTAATAAATCATTTATTACGCATTATTATGACTTTATTAATGCTGTTATATGCACTTGTTAACAGTTAACTATGCTTTTTTCAGCTACCGGATCTAAAGCGAGAACAATCCTTGTTAAGGCTAATAAATATTTTATTACGTGTTAATTACTGGTTAATGATTTTCACAACCTCCACATCTAAAATGTGGTCAAGGCTGATATAATGGGAAGGGAAAAAAGCATAATACAAGTGTTTCAACTGTGAAGGCCAAATATGCTTTATTTATTGATGTGGACTACAAATGTCAGGATCTGTAAAAATCAAGGCATATTATCACAAACATTGAAATTACCTTAAAGCGCATGATAAAACTAAGGTAGATTATTATTATTATTATTTTTTTTATCCCTCTGAACATTTAACGGTTTAACTTTTTTTTAAAACATGGTCCATCAGCACAACATCAATTCAAAATTGCCCTTTTCCAACAGGCAATAGTTTCCCTGATTTCTTCAGTGCCCGAACTGTGTCACCAATATCTGGACAGTCACAAATCAGCAAAACCCTAGAGAGCTTGTGCTTTGTTGTATGCTGATCTTTAAACTCTTTAAACACTTTCCAGTAACGTGTAATTACCTCATCCGGACCACGTGCTGATGGTGAAGAAGAAAGAGATCTTCCATTCAATAACCTTAAACCATTCCTGAAGTTTACTAACTATGCAACACTAACATCATTCAGTAGGCATAGTCTACAACACAACAGTGGCTTTCTTGCACAAAGGTGGACTACACAAGTGTTACTTTCACCTTTTACCTGCAAGTTCACTCCTCTTCATTGAAACTGACGACATCAAGTCACACACCTAAAAATAAACAGCCAGTAACTATCTTCTAAATCTTAGTTTTCATTTACATAAATTAACCCTTGAAACACGGCTCCGTCTGATCTTTTTGCTTCCTGTTTCCTTCTTCTTCTTCTTCTTTATGTTCTTCTTTGACCTCTTCATCTTCTTCTTCTTCTTTCCATTCTCTGAGCTTGAGGAGCTTGGAGAGGAAGAGGAGTCTGAGGAGTAGTTGGTAGAGGATTAAAATGTCCCTGTGGTAGCTTAATATTTGTTACAAATATCAGACATGTGGTCATTATAAAGGATATTTGGTGGTTACATTAAAAAGTCTGATTTCCACACAAAATACCTTCATTTATAAAGAGAGCAGCAGTAATGGCTATAAAACATAATATATTTTTGTTTCCAGTTATATGATGCAGTTTATCTTGCAATCTATGTTTTCATAATAATGACTTGCCATTTACTTGCCAATAGCTGAACTATTCACTCAGTGCATTCATAAAAAATGAATAAAGGACATGAAATATATTGAAGCTTTCTGCATCATGACTGACTACAGTTTTTTTTACAGTCGCTAGGACACATTTCTCAATATTTAGGTCACTTTTTCAAAACTCTTCACACAGTTCTCCGAACCAAGTTTCAGCTCGCCACAGCAGTTCATTTCACATTCAAAATGCACTAAAACTACCAAAACACTTCATTCATGTCTCAAAGAACACTAGCAAAGGTTGACAGCCAACAAACACACTTTGTCACCCACAAAACAACTACCTAAAAAACACTAACAACATGTAGCATTATACAACGTTTTCTTGTGTAAAACAAGGACACATCTCTGTTTATAATTCACTGTAATATATGTTACTGGAATTAATCAGTATATATATATATATATATATATATATATATATATATCATCGTATATGTGGCTTTTGTTGAGAGAATCCACCTTTAAAGTTTTTTTTTTCAGGCTGCTGAACTTTGTATGTGGGGTCGAGCAAAAAAACAAAGTAGGACTTTCACCGAGAAAACTGCTGTTCGTGTCCCATTTGTGCGTAAACTAGCTTATGTAATGTACTAAAGACACACCTCTTCAGACTCTACCTCGACTAAAGACTAACAAATTGTAGCACTTAAATTATACTTGTAACGTCACTCATCTATAGCAAATTGTAAATTGGCTTATTTGAGGAAATTGCACTTTCTTGTTTCTTGTTCTCCTGAGTTTGTACCCTGTGGTTGAACGCACTTATTGTACGTCGCTTTGGATAAAAGCGTCCGCTAAATGACATGTGATGTAATGTAATGTACTTTACCTACACACGGAACAAATAGACTTACTTCCCCCCAAATATGATCCTTTGCAACCTGAATAAGTTGTGTAAGCTAACCTGGGAATCAGGTATCTTGGTTCCAGCGTCAACCACCAGTTTAAAGCGCAGCCTCACATTCCACGTTGTCACGGCAAAATGACTTTTTTATTAGTGGCATCATGAAGATTAAGCAGGTTTCTGAGATAATTCAGTTGCATCTTGTTGTGGCATCCTTGAAAAATGTGAATGTGTATCTAAAAAGATGACGGAGGCTACGTGATACGCCTAGAAAGGAAAGGAGTAATACACAGTATATTTTAGGGTATGTACTTTAAAACATTAAAAACAAGGAAAACATTTTTTTATCCAACTATGACAAAAATAATCCCCAAATTACACACATTACTTACTAGTTTACATTACTAGTTTAGTTTTAATATATACAGTACTTAAGAATAAATGAAGGTTGCTTCATACGATTCCCATTTGTCTGGTAAATCTTTTTCTTATTTTTATGAAGTATTTAGGTTTGTTATGTAAGGTTTGTGTTAACGTCAACGACAAATAGCTGACATGCAATCATCATCGTTCACATTGTGAACATTGTGCACCGCAGGTGTACACAGAGGTTATGCTGGCGGGGCACAGCCTTTACAGACTTTTAGGGTAATTATAAGTGAATGTGTCAGAGGTTTCGCAGGTTTGGCGGGATGCCGTGCAAGGTAGCAATTGTGTTATTTGAAGGAACGTTTTGCTAAACCTTTGAAAAATTTGCCTCAGAAGGCTTTCCAGTCTGTACACATGTGGCATCCTCTGTCCCGAAACCCTCACGTGGAAACCCAGTCTCACAGCAAAACATGTAATAGCTACGTTGTGGAACGTGGTATTCTCACACTTTATCCCCAAAATCGTGACAATATTACGTTTTATTTCAGCCCATTCATTTATGTCGCCTTGCAACTATGTCCCTAGAAACTAATAAACGGAAGGTCTTCTACATTCTCTGATAGAAGATTATGAAAATGTAACGCATACTTCTCGCTAGAAATGCTATCGAAATGCATATAAATGCTGATGCTTTCTTAAAATATTGTGTTTTTCACAGATAATAGACCGATCGTTGCAACGAAAACGTTGTATTGTCACGCTTTCTCCCCAAAAGCGTGACAATACCACGTTCCACAACGTTTTGCTGTGAGACTGGGTTGCACGTGGGCACAGGAAACACTCCCCAAACAATGAAAAACCCGTCCAAAAAGGGAAGAAACCTTAGTGAGAACGTCAGAGGAGGATCCGTCTCCTGATGGACGGACTACAATGTGGACAAAATGAACAATGTAAAAGATGTACAATACATTCAATTCATATGACAGAGATGATTCTCAAGATAATTGTGAGTAGTAAACCAGATGTACGGCAGGACCACTGCAGGGACAACCACCATCAGATAGAACCACCATCAGATAGAACCACCATCACCGTCAAATAGAACCACCATCAGATAGAACCACCATCATATAGAACCACTATCAGACAGAACCACCATCACAGAAAACCACCATGAAATAGAACCACCATCAGAGAGAACCACCATCACAGAGAACCACCATCAGATAGAACCACCATCCACAGAAGCCTGTGGGGAGGGAAAGTGCAAAGACTTTAGGAGAGGGTAATGTTAGTTTATGATGACAATAATAGGATTAATATTTAAAATAATAATGATGATGGCAGCAGCAGGTGTTAGGGCCAGGGTCCAGAAGGAACTACGATCTACGGAGACCTTCTGGGGGGAGAACGCTCAAAAAACTCCAGAGAAGAAGCTGAATTAGTGATGTGCATTAATAAAACGTGGATTATTGTAGAATGAGAGAGTGAGAGAGGAGCTCTGTGTGTTCTATGACGTCCCCCGGCAGTCTAAGCCTATAGCAGCTTAACTAAGGGCTGGTCTGGGCTAACCTGAGCCAGCCCTAACTATAGGCAGAATCAAAGAGGAAAGTTTTAAGCTTTATCTTAAAAGAGCCGACCGAATCTTCCCCCGGACTGAAAGTGGAAGCTGGTTTCACAAAAGAGGAGCTTGATACCTGAAGGCTCTGGCTCCCATCCTTCTTTTTAAAACCCTACGAACAACAAGTAAGCAGCATCTATGGAGCGCAGCTGCCTTGTAGGGCAACACGGTGTTACAAGCTCTTTAAGATAAGATCTAACAAAACATCTGACAATTAAAGGTTTACTTTAAAGTATTATTTATTAAACCCAAATAATCTGGTTGGTTTAACAGAAATTATATTTTTATTACAGAAATTGCAAATGTTTTAATTGATTAGAACCTTTCAGAGATTTTCTATCCAACAGATATGACAGATTAATGTGAGTGGTTCTCAACGACTCTGAAGAGGTTGTTTCTTTGTTGTACTTTAATGCAGTAAGATTGGATTTTGTTTCAAGAGACGCGTCACATCAATTTAAAACATTAAAGTACAAAACAAGTCCATGAAATGCAAACAAGGGATGAAATCTAATCAAAATATATAGCTGTGATATACAAAGCAGACGTTAGACCGTTTCAGAGAGGAAAAATGAAAAGCTTCTCTAACATTTTTATTCTAATCCTCAATGGGAAGTGTAAACGGACTCATCTCAGATGACCTCACAGGTTTTGCACAGAAGACAGTGACATAGTACCTCCCATTAGAAATATGTTATCTAGGGAAACGAGACATTAGAAGGATGTAATCCACAGAAAATGCACGTTGGAAACCAGTGGGAACTTTAGAAATAGGGAAAGGTTTCAATAAAAAACATATTGTCGTATCGAAGGAAACAAAGGACCAACAGTCGGTGTGATCTCCACTCTGTAGCCTTCAAAGGACTTCCAGACACCGAGAGGAAGCCAAACGGGAGACTTGTGTGACGTTGCGTGACGTTGCTGCTCTCTAGTGGACGCGCGTGAGCCAGGCTGTGAAAGCGTGTGCATGTGTTGTCTGAGCTCCACTATACCGTGCATACATACATATATATATATATATATATATATATGTGTATACAAATCTTCAGTCATCGAGTGGTTTGCAGCCCAGAATGGTGTCACTTTCCCTCCCACCTTACTCTCCATTCCTCAACCCCAAAGAGGAATTCTTTTCCTCGTGGAGGTGGAAGGTTCATCACCACCATCCACATGATCAAATGTCTCTTCTGGACGCAATGAATGCTGGATGCCTGGACATATCAGCAGGAGATTGCCAGGCATGGATCAGGCATGCCATAAGGTTCTTTCCTAGGTGTATTGCTCTAGATGACATGAGATGTCATGTGAATGAGAACCTGTGGCCAAATAGAGAAGACCGAGTAGATTAGCAATATTATATGTATCAGTGGATGGTGTGTATACAAATTCTTGTATTTTGGAAGTAGTCAGTGCAAAAAAATTAAAAATGAATAAAGGACATGAAATATATTGAAGCATTCTGCATCATGTCTGATTAATTCCAGTAACATATATTACAGTGAATTCTAAACAGAGATGTGTCCTTGTTTTACACAAGAAAACATTATATAATGCTACATGTTGTTAGTATTTTTTAGGTGGTTGTTTTGTGGGTGACAAAGTGTATTTGTTGGCTGTCAACCTTTTGCTAGTGTTCTTTTAGACATGAATGAAGTGTTTTGGTAGTTTTACCAAAGTAGTTTAGTGCATTTTGAATGTGAAATGAACTGCTGTGGCGAGCTGAAAGTTGGTTAGGAGAACTGTGTGAAGAGTTTTGCAAAGGTGACCTAAGTATTGAGAAATGTGTCCTAGCGACTGTAAAAAACTGTAATACAAAAGGCCTCAACTACATCCTACTTAAGTTTTGTCATAGAATTCTATGGGACGAGAAGAGCCGCCCACTGGTGGTTAATAGAGAGAATGCAACTTTAAGACGTAAAGCTTTGACTTTACTTTTCAGACCTGCTGGAACGTTGTACCTATTTCATGTTAAAAACCTATTTCAACCCTAATTTCCCTTAAATAAAAGCTATTAACAAACTATTTGGGAAAGACAGTAACGGTACTAACGAGTCACATGACTAACTACTGAGTGAGGAGACACTCAACATGAAACATGTGGTTGTTGTTTAGATAACATAAATTATTATTTCCTCCCCAAACTGCTACAAAAGCGAGACTATTAAAAGCCAGTAATAACTTAGGGGCTGTCTTCTGGTTGGGGGTTTTGCTGCTTTTGTTTTTAAATACATATTTTTATTTTCTACGGCCAGAGATGAGTAAAAGAACTTGTAGGATGTCCCAATGAGCTCAGGACTGAAGTGCGTTTATGCCTTTTACAGGACAGACGTGCATATAAATGACAATAAAACAAAGCATGGAGGCTGTTAGACCATCCCAGTGGAAATCGGTCCTTAGCAACGGGCTCTTAAACCGAGCTGTACTAACTCACTCGTTGCCGGGAAACACCTGCGTAGCTACGGCCTGTTTGTCCTAAAGTCTCCTCATTTGTAATAGTGTACAGGGCCCCCAGACTAAGACTAAGACTAAATCAAAAATAGCTGCCAAAATTAACACTGATGCAGAGACTAGAACATTTGATTGGTATCAAAGGAACTGCACTCAGCTGGTTTAAATCCTACTTATCGGATCGATCCCAGTTTGTGCTTGTAAACGGTGAATCCTCGAAGACCACCAATGTTGGTCACGGAGTCCCACAAGGTTCTGTACTTGGACCGATTTTATCTACCCTCTATTTGCTTCCTCTGGGCGATCTTATCAGGAAACACTGCATAAACTTCCATTGTTATGCAGACAATATTCAACTGTATCTGTCGATCAAACCAGAAGAGACGGACCAGCTAGTTAGACTTCAAGTCTTGGAGACATCAAAACTTGGATGACTGGCAACTTCCTGATGCTAAACTCAGAAAAAACAGAAGTTATCCTGATCCTGGCCCAGAGCGCCTTCGAAGCCAGCTGTCACGTGATACAGTTTTTATGGATGGAATTGCTCTGGTACCCAGCAGCACCGTCAGGAATCTTAGAGTTCTCTTCGACCAGGATATGACCTTCAACTCGCATATAAAGAAGACTTCAAGGACTGCCTTCTTTCATCTACGTAACATATCAAAAATCAAAAAGTGATGGAGAAAACTGTATTCATGCATTTGTCACTTCCAGACTGGAATACTGTAATTCTTTGTTATCAGGCTGCTATTAAGTTGATTCAGAATGCTGCAGCACATGTATTAACAAGAACTAAGAAAAGGGATCATATTACTCCTGTGTTAACTTCTCTGCACTGGCTCCCTGTTAAATCAAGAATAGATTTTAAGGTATTTATCCTTAAAAAAAAGGTATTATTTGAAATATTAATCATAATACTGTAATATTAAACCAACATTACTCTCTCCTAAAGTCTCTGTGCTCTCCCTCCCCACAGGCTTCTGTGCATGGTGGTTCTATGTGATGGTGGTGGTCCCTGCAGTGGTCCTGCTGTGCGCCTGGCTTACTACTCACAATTACTTGAATCATTTCTGTCATCGGAATTGAATGTATAATACATTGTTCATTCTGTACACATGGCATCCATTGTAGTCTGTCCATCCCGGGAGTGGGATCCCTCCTCTGACGTTCTCCCTAAGATTTCTTCCCTTTTTTTCCCTCTTGGAAGGATTTTTTTTTCGTTTTTTGGGGAGTTTTTCCTGTGCTGATGTGTGGGTTTCGGTACAGAGGATGTCGTATGTGTACAGACTGTAAAGCCCTCTGAGGCAAATTTGTAACTTGCGATTTTGGGCTATACAAAATAAAATTAATTGAATTGAATTAGATTCTATTCTTGCAGCAGCAGCAGAGACCCGGTGGATGTTGTGAAACTCGCAATGTTACGCTTTCATTTGTTGCTTCTACCTGTGCTGTTGTTGTGGATTTTTGTAAATTTTGTGAATATGATTATAGCGGAAATGCAATGAAAATAAAAACTTTTCAATGTTGTGGGAATGTTTTATTTTGTGCAAAACAAGGTGCCAAAAAGCTGCAATGAAAAGCTCTCACAGCGTTTTTTTTATTTTTTTTTAGCCCTACCTGATCAGAAGCGGTGAACATTTGAGATAAAACAACATGGTTCATGTTCACTGACCTTCTGCTTTAGAAACACATGTATTATGAATCTATTAAAAGCTTTCTAGACAAACCTACTCTAATGATTTTATGATCCTAAATATTTCTGACGTTTAAAGTAGTTCAAATAGTTCACAGTATACTGGCATTTTAAATGCTCCAATTAAAACAATGGAGATAAGTACGGGTGTGGTCAAATCAGGAGGAAACATTGAAAGAGAGTCAGAGAATATGAAGTATAGTGGATTTATTGGTATAAATAGTGTATTGTAGGTGCGGCTAATCCTCTTTTTGTTCTTGGGTTCCTAGCAGGAGTGGCCTTCAGCATTGTAATGCCCAAGAGCACACACACACAATACAAGAACCCGTGATTCATGCACTCACTTTTCTTCAATTAGTAATTATATTGCACAGATATAAAACATTTTTAATGTTTTTCAGACACCAGTGTTACATACTCTCAAAGGCATTGATTACAAAGTGGATGCGGATGACAACGATTAACAACATAAACTACATAAACTACACACCAAGATAAAAGACGCTGCCAGTTTTTGCTCTTCACAGCCTTCATCTTCACCTTCATGATTAAAATCCACATCGAGTTGAACGGCCACTGCAGAAGCATCACAACGAAAGCCACGGCCGCAAACTTAGACGCCAGAAAGCCTCATTAATTTCAGTTTCAGTTTTTGACACAACGTGTCCAAAAGGTATTCGTCAAACCACTTTCAATCAACAAAGCGAGCTCTTCAGCAGTCAGACAGTCAGCTGTTAATTTGTCTGTTTCTTTTGTCGCTATAAAATAAGAAGATAACTAATCACAAATTGGAATAAGACCCCTAAAGTGCTCTTTTCTGCTCGGTTGTTTGGGCTCATCGGTCACACCAAAGTTCCAGTGTTGAAGCGCCGGCGAAAGTCACCTTGAAAGCTGAGGTCATCGAAGTCCTCGCTTTCTCCGTCAACGATCTGTAAGAAATGCAGGTACTGAGACAGCCAGCAATTACACCGCACCCCGAACGCAACGTCAGGACAACAGGCTTGGGGACGCTTTCTTTGTTCTGAGTTGGCGGAGGACGGGCGAGGTGTGGACCGCCACGCACCACCTGGAGCGTGATTGACACTTCTGTTCTACTTTTGACACTTTAATTGCCCCTTTGTGAAAAGCGGTGCTCTCCCCAATTGTGCTCGTAAAAAAGGCCACACAAATACTGTACATTCTGTAGGATTGGTACAGCGTAACACTTGTGTGACTGTTAGTCACTGAATGTCTTTGTACGATTATAATTATACTTGAGTTAAGTGTATTTCATCATGGAAAATTTGTAGTACCAGCAACAATTAAGACAGCCGTAGCTGTATTAGCAGATGTGGTAGTGGTAGAAATATTACCGAAGTAGTAATAATATATCTACCTTTTTAATTGGCTGATGATGGTTTTGCTTGGTAGACATGGGCTCTGTACTCAGGAAGGCCACATAATGGATCAGGGTGCTCATTCTGGAAAGAAAACCACAGAAGAATTAACTTGCATGTAACAGCATGATACATATATACATGAATATAACTCACAAGGGATCGGTTACCTGTGGTACAACATGCCGAAGAACTGGATCACCACCAGTAGGGCGAAGGACAGGACGAACATGAAGCCCACGGGGTCGATGTCGATGTACTCTCCGGTAAACTCAAGGTCAAAGTTGATTTTTGGCACCCTGATGAAGACGCTCGAGTCTAATAACTGGAGCGTGAAGGTCACCACGAGCCAGAAGGCGTTGATTATGAAGTAAACGAAGGTCATCTGTTCAAATGAGGACGGAAAGAAAAAGGATCAGTTTGTGTTCATCGTCATGTGATTAAGTTCACCAGTCAGAGACATGTTACCTTGTTTCTCAACTCCCTGAGTTTATTAATCATTATTTCCTGTTTCCCTTTGTCCTCGGGAACGGGCTGCAGGTATTTGCTGGTGAGCTCTCTGAAGAACTTCCCCTCCTCCTGCAGACACATTTCAATAAACGATTTACTTCATTGGTTTATCGCGCTGGAAAAGTCACATGTCGCACACCCGTCGCACATGGAAACCAACTGTTTTTTTAAAATAAACACGTGATTAAAGGCGTGAGGCTGAAATACTCCTATAAATATAACAATTCCTTTGAGCACAAAGCACATTTAAGGGTACATGGAAAAATATACATACCAGAACTCTTGACTTCCTTTTTTGGTTAAAGAAATAGACCTTTTAGAATTTTATATTTTTCATTTCCTAAAACTATTACAGAAGAAAACACAATTGGCCTGTTTGCTGTGATGAATTCCACACGATTGGATTAACAACATTCGCCTTCACGCGTAATCTTTAGACGACAATAGAGACACACAAAAATAAAGATTGTGCACCTCGTCCAGTTTGTCCTCGCTAAGATTCATGTCATTGGATAAACTCTGCAGCTGTGCGACCCAGTCTGAAGAAAAGAGCAAGATAACAGAAAATTACACAACGTGAGTGTGTTGAAATAAGCACATTCTTTCTACCTTTTACCATTTGTGTACCTACTTTGGTGAGGGGGGGCTAAAGTGGTGCTTCGCCTGAAACAAAATCACAGACAACAATTAAAAACAGTGTGTTGTGGTCGTTGTGTGAAGTTAATAAAATACACACGTTATGGTGCAAATCATCAATTGGCCGTGTGAATGGATAAAATACTGAAACACACACGTTGTCATGAATTCTCCATCTTATTAGTTTTTTCCTGCCTGCGTTCTTGTCAATTAACTATACTCATTGTCATTCCAGATCCTGTCATCAACAAGAAATCACCTCATTCTCTTCACCTGGTCCTCATGCCCTTCCCACCTGCAACCCATTCCCTCATTAGCCCCTCACTATATAGGTCCCCACACTTCCACTTGTCCTCTGTCAGATTGTCTTGTGTGCATGCCAAGGTTTCCAGCGTTTTTCCGATTACCGATATCCTGTCCTGACCTAGCCTGCCTTCTCATTACTATGAACTCTTCGCCTGCCCCTTTTTGGATTTGTTTGCCTGTTGGATTGCCATCCTGTTTCTGAACCCTGCCTCTCCCCGTTTATGGATTTGTTTAACCATTGGACTGCTATCCCGGTTTGACCCTGCCTGTATAAGTAAAGAACTTTTGATTGGATTCTGCCTCGGAGTTGTGCTTTTGGGTTCCAATACCTGTAACCCTTACACACTTATCCATTGATACAGTCAATCGTTTTGTTACCTTGGCTGCTCCCCAGGCTGCCCCGCCTCCTCCACGATGCTGTTCTGGGGTCGAGGCTCCGGCTCCTCGCTCGGGACGTCCCGGCTGAGGATTCGCTCGTCTGTTGCGTCCGTCAGACAAAGTCTCCTGCAGCACCTGGACCGCGAGAAGAACCGCGCGATGGTGCTCCTGACTGCTCCTGAACGAGAAGGAAAGCATAACTTTCATTGTCCAACTGATTATTTACCAGAGGTGGGACAGTCATTGTTATGGAAGTCTCAAGTCTTTGCCCTCGAGAGTCGAGTCAAAGATGAGGCAAGTGTCGAGTCAAAAGTCAGACAACAAGTCTCAAGTAGAGTCTTACCATTTTAGTTTTGAGTCATTTCAAGTCCTCTTACCACCGAAATAAAATTCATACAAATCATGTTTGTCTGTGAGATTTGTATTTATTTAAACAGACATTGACCAAATACAGTGAAGAGAACATGTAATTATCACAAACAGTTTAACTTTCAAATCAACATGGGTCCTTTTTAGCCTAAACTTTCTTAAACATGTCATCAATAGAATCATCACTCCTCAACATGATAACTTCTGAAAAACTGGACCAACCTGATAGTATAATTTGAATCTGGTATGAGTGAGTGAGTGAGAGCTGTGTGGACAGGTGATGAGCAGAGAGACCGGTGGAGGGAGGCCCCTATACTGCATTGCATTTGCAAAAGATAAAATTGGCCAAAAGTCTGTCAGTCATTTGTGCACGATGGGGACGCAGAATGATTCCACCGTGGCTGATAACTCTCTCCACTGGAGCACTAGAAGACCCGGATGGCTACTTGAAAGAGTGAAGGAAGAGTCTTACTGTTCAGTGCCCAGAACAAAAGGGCATTCTGTCCTTCTGCCATGTCAATGTAGTGACTTAGCTGTACTGCTGGTGGGGTCCCAACATCCCTTTTCTGCCTCTTATGGTATGCAGCAAACAGCCCTTCTCCTTCCATGTCCTCTAGTTCTTCAGCAGGCACAGGCAGCTGAAGAAATTCAACCTGCCAAAGACAATGATGGTCCACTTCTCCACGGCCATCATCGAGTCCATCCTCTGCTCTTCCATCCCCGTCTGGTACGCTGCAGCCACAGCCAAGGACAAGGGCAGGCTGCAGCGCGTCATCCGCTCTGCAGAGAGGGTGATCGGCTGCAATCTGCCGTCCCTGCAGGACTTGTTTGCTTCCAGGTCTCTGAAGCGAGCTAAAAAGATTGTGGCCGACCCCTCTCACCCCGGACAAAACCTGTTTGTGTCTCTTCCATCTGGCAGGAGGCTGAGGTCCATCAGGACTAAGACCTCCCGCCACACCAACAGTTTCTTCCCGTCGACAGTCGGGCTCATCAACAGAGCCGGTCCCCCACTGACTGACTATAACACTCCACCGGTCACTCCCCTTCACACTGCACACGTCACTTTAACTGTAATTCATCACTTTGTCGTCACTCGTCACTTTGTTACTTGTTCGCTAGTGCACTTTATGCTTAATATTTAAACTTTCTTAATATTTTAAATTTGTAACTTTATTCCCTTGTTTTATACTAACCCATAGCCTTATTCCTTTTTCTTTTTTTTTTTTACTAACCCATTGCATTAGCATTTCATTTTACTTTATTTTATTACTTGTGCACTGCTGTCCTGTTGTCTATTGTTACACTGTCTGTCATGAACCAACCGCCAAGACAAATTCCTTGTATGTTTGACATATTTTGGCAATAAATGTTTCCTGATTCCTGACAGGTTGCTCTGTCTCTGCAGCATCTTGCAGGATCAATTCTAAAAAAAACGTGTCACAACAGCAGAAACAAAAGGGCCCTTATTACCATTACGGATGTTGATACTATGAAAGACTGAAAATTGATTATTGTTGCTGATCACAACGAAGGACTGCTTTCACCTGCTGCAGGGATGCCTCTGTGCTCCCCAAATTCACCATCGAAGATGTCTTTAAACGTTGTGCTTGTGTGGAGCAGGGAGCTAAGTCTTGATAACTTGGAGAGAGAGAGAGAAGGACATGCCGCTTTTGTTTCTTTCAAACAGTCTCCCACAACTAGCTGCAATGTGTGTGTGAAAAACACTGCAGGCGCTGTTTCTTTGCCATAGCAGCATTGACGGTTTGCTGGTCTTCTAGGGTTAAGTCATGCCATAGCTCAGGATCATCCAGATTATCTCCAGCATCATCGTTCGCTGGGGAAGCGGACCGTAAATGCCTTGCGCATGTTAGCAGCATTGTCACTAATGATATAGTCCAATTTAGCTTTGATGTTGTATTCATCACATATTGCCTCAAATTGGTCACAGATGCGCTCTGCTGTGTGAGCCTTTGAAGCGGTGGCAGGCCAAGAGATTAGTCTTTAGCTGTATCCTCTCTGCATCTCTCTCCATCCAGTGCACAGTGACACCAAGGAATCCCCTCATCTTTCGATCAGACCAAATGTCCACAGTGACTGAAACATGGTCAGTGTTGCTCAATTGAGTCTTTAACTTTGAACGTCTCTCCTCAGCAAGGCTCTGTTTTTGTGGTCGGCGTTCGGCGACAGACTGGGGTATACTTGCTGTCCAGCACAGCCAGAAAGTGACGAAAGCTCTTATTTTCCACAATAGACAGAGGAAAATTGCAATCAATAGTCAAGTCAGACAGTATCGAATTGGAGATGGCCTTCTGCTGTGGGTGGCTCATGCTGTAACCCTCTACATGAGTGTCCAGGAATTGTGAGATTGGCTGTTGTGATTCATCTACGATGCTTTTGTTCATCTGATATTCTTCATACCTGTAACAGAGAATAATATGAAACAAATGTCCGAAAATCCCTTATAGCCACACATGTCGTATTTGAAACTACTTTTTCACTAAAGTAAACCAAACGAAACCAAAAATAAGCTAAATATTCCCATTAGTTAGGAACTGCACTATAATAATCTATTGCATCTCTGAACATTACTACTATAATCGTTATTATTTTATTATATACTGTATATATCCCAGTAGTGCGCTGCCTCACAGACCTAGACTACGTAGCACTCCATGTGTCCATGCGCTGCTTTCTGTTTGGGCATGATATGAAAAGGGAAGGATAATGGTGCATCTACTGTGACTGTTATGGTACTTTAAAACAGACGTTGACATGATGTTGGCGAGGTTTTCCATCTGAGTGTGCTACACTCGGGTACCTTGTATAATCCGGGTTTAAAAATCCCTATTTTTGTAAGCGTGAACAAGCTGTCTCGTTGATACAGTAAATATGCAGCAGCTAGCTAGTAAGTTCCGGTACACCCAGTAAGGTGCTTAGCATTCGTTCAAAACTTACCTTTCTTTGTGTAACTTGAGGTGTCAAACAAAGTTGGATGTTGTGGCAGCTCAGTCTGTTATCTTCTTCCCGCAAATTTTGCAAATTGCAACACGTTTTTTGTTCACCACCTCGTAATTTTTATAGGCAGACGAGACAACCCTCGGTATCATTTGGCAGGCAGCGTGCGCGCTCTCTGCACGCATATAGAAGGTGCACATTGTTTCACAGATGCAGATAAACTGAGAGCGGCGCGCCGTGTGAAAATGATTTTCATGGAAGTAGCAAGTCTTCTCGAGTCAAAAGGCGCAAGTCCAAGTGAAGTCACGAGTCATTGATGTTAAAGTCCAAGTCGAGTTGCAAGTCTTTGTACATTTTGTCGAGTCAGAAGTCATCAAATTCATGACTCGAGTCTGATGCGAGTCCAAGTCACATGACTCGAGTCACACCTGTTATTTACTACTATTTACTATTTAATACGCAGTAGTTTCATGTTTGGAATATGAGTGCCTGTAATACTTCATCGCCCCCAAAGAGTGCGCATTGCTCCACGGCAGTAACCTGCAGCGCGCCGTACCTTTCTCGGCTTTGGTTGGCGAGGCGGCCTCGTCTCTGGCGGCAGGCGCCGTCTCCCTGGTGCCCCAGGACACGTTGTTCATGTTGACCATGGAGTAGATGGAGAGCAGCAGGTAGGCGCTGGGGATGCAGATGATGTAAATAAAGCCGTAGAACACCAGGCCAATCTCCTGAGGGTGGAGCAATGCAGTGATGACGTAGAAGAGGGCGAGGAAGATGAGGAAGAGACTGCTGGGAGTCAGGATGGTTTGGTCCTTCACTATGTTCCCTGACGGAGGAGGAGGAGATGGAGGAGGACATGAAGTTGCCGCAAACCATGAACCATGTGAACAGCACCGGTTTGGTGTTGAGTGTGTACCTATTATGGTGATTGCCGATACCATCATGAGGAACGCGTACAGGATGCTCAGGATCGCAGCGACGAGGATCTGAGTGTCCGCCTTGATTCTGAAGCTGGCGCCGAGGAAGATAGCTGGAGGTATCACAGCCAGGACCAGAGAAACGCTCGGGTGAACATCGAGCAGCACAGTCAAACTACCTGGAAGGCCGTCAGGAAGCAAAGAAGAGCTGGTTTAACGGACAGATGATAGATGAGCGCGTGATCTTCTCTCCTAAACTCAAACTCAAAAGTATCTATTCAGATTCTACGCACTTCAGATGAAAATACACATGAAAACAATAAAAAAAATTACAAAAAAACTTATTTTGGTCCAGCTAAGCTTTTTTTTAATGGCTGAAAAATAAGAAAAAAACAGCCAGACCTGCGATCATAAGGATGACGGTGGAAGGTGCCAGAATGGACGCCGCCAGGCTGATGAACTGGTACAGCATGTAGACCTTTGAAATAGACGTGTTCTTCTTGGAGATCACAGTGGCACAGCCCAGCAGGTCCACCATGTTGGCCATGGTCGACGGCCCCCAGCGGCGACGCTGACAACGGCAGAAAAACCAAACATTAGCACCAATTATCACTGTTAGAAATGGTGACCATTATTCATGCAGCTTGTTGTAGCTGAGTGTATAAACAATTAGGTTAAGATGTGTCATGGATAATTATAATTAAACTCAAGCTGGATCTGGTCCTTGCCAAGAGTGTTGCCAGAAACATTTAAATACATATTTAACATTTAATAACAATAACAAGGTGCAACAGGAAGGATTTCATATAGTTTTTTTCTTGTGCAACAAAAACGTCAGCAATTCTCTCCTTGAAGGGTCCTTGAATTTGCCTTCACATGTCGGCAACTGGGACTGATCATTGTTTAACAGCCTCCTGATGGAGAGTCCTGTGCTTGTTTGACCAATTGCCTTCCATTCCCGCCCTTACTCTTGTGCCGGAGGGCCCGCTCGCCCTGCGGGCCGAGGAGCTGCCGCCGCACGCTGAGAGCCAATCTAAATTGTGCTGCGTCGGGTTTTGAGTCCCCTGGAATCACCTGGTTGTAAAACTCTTTGAAGTCCTCCGGGGCGTTGGTGTGGGCGTCCGAGGCCGCGTTGTACTCCACCCTCCAACCCTGCTTCAGCAGCAGAGTGCACAGCCAGCGGTCCTCTCCTGCAGAGACCGTCAGAGTCAAATCTTCCACCACATCCGCTGGGTTTTGTGACTTCCATCCGTAGTTGGTGCGAAATAAGGAAGCCAGCCGGGCGCTCCGGAGACGTACCTTGGTCGTACTGGATGTAGTGTTGCGCCTTCGACGACATGACGGTGTATTTCTTCATCACGTTGTCGTCCATCAGCGCCTCGGCTCTGAACAGGCTGAAGCAGCCGGGGCTGCAGAGCACGCAGCCGAACACGTGCTCGGCCGTCTTGTGAAGCCAGTGTCCGACGGCGTATTCAAACTTCTGGTACCAAACGACGGGCCCTGCCAGAGGAATACACAGCTGGTTACTTCGTGGTACAGGGTACTCACATATACAGTACGTATATAGTGGTGTTAACTTTTCATTTGATCTATTATTCTGGTTTTGTTTCCCTTTATATGTTTTGCCATCCATCATCAACCATTAAATCCATCCAGATTCTGGCTTGTTAGTTTAGCTTCTTTTGAACTAAATATACATTTTATTCTTGTCTGTTTTTCTGACTGGTCTGACATGAGTTTGCATTGACTTCATTGATGATCAGTCATCGGTCTCGTGGTGTCCAGCTGTCCTCTAATCCCTTACGACCCACCTGAGCCGGTGGGGTGAATCCGGCCGCAGACCGCCCCGACCTGCGGGTACAGTTTCAGGCGATCGATGAGCAGCATCACGGCGGCCGGCGTGAAGTCTGTGTCCCCATCCAGAGCCAGGATGTAAGTGTTCTTCTTCTCCCTCTGGAGGAACAGACGCAGTTTGCTCCGTCACACATTTCATATACACAGATTTGGAAATATATTCATTGTTTTATGGCCGTTTGTTTTCTCTCGTCTTACCTCAAACTCATTTTTCACCTCAACTTCCTCCTCCCCTTTCCCCCACCTTTTGAAATACTTGGTTGAAACTTTCCATCCCAGGAGATAGTACAAGTACATGACCTGGAGAATACCACATGCAGTTCAGTAAACTCACTCTGACAGAGCAACCCTGTCACCGAATAATGAACTACTACATGACGGGAGGGATCTGATCACCTGGGACCATCTCTTCTTGTGGCGGATGAGCTTCTTGTTCTTGTAGTGAACCGTTAAGGTGTTCCCATGTGGCATGGTGACTACCAGACGTCCTCCATACGGCGTTGTCACAATCGTCTGATCCGGGATCTGCTGCTTCTTTGTGAAGAGGTCGTTATTGATGTTCAAGAAGATGCTGACGACAGAAGAAAACATGGTTCATCTTCACTTCTCGTCAGAATCTCTTTCTTTTTCTTTAAATCAAACTTTTACCTGTAAACTTCTGCGATAATGTTCACAAGCATCTCAGCGTACTGGTTGACGTGGGCCCCCCGGCTACCGGCAACATCTGTGAAGGCGTCGTCGAAGAAGATGTGGCCTTCAAACGTGACATCGCCAGCTTCTCCTTCCTTCTTTGGCCTGTACTTGTCCAGTCTGTGGAGGAACAGGAACCACGTTAAGCTCCCGGTACCATGTTGTTGTTGAGGTAAAAGAATCAGCAGGAACGCTGACTTGATCCATTTGGAATGACATGTCATTACATGACATCACATTACATCACATGTCATTGAGCTGAAGCTTTTATCCAAAGCGACTTACAATAAGTGAATTTCAACCATAAGACAAATTCAAAGGAACAAGAAATTTGCAATTTCATTAAATATGCCAATTTACAACTTGTTATAGATAAGAGCCATTATAAGTCAAATTCAAGTGCTATAATTTGTCAGTGTTTTTATTATGACGTTGTAGAGACATCTTGCTGAATGCACCAAATCCCGCGCTGGGCCGCAGCGACTTCCCAACGCCGCTGGGCCGCAGCGCATAGTTTCCCCGGCCGTCTGGCCGCCCACCGGGCTGCCTGCCAGAGTTTCCCAGGCGGACCATCCCTCGCCTCTGGTTTCCCCACCTCCCGCCCCATGTCTGCTTTCTGCCGGTTTAGGGCCATCTGGAATTTGGCCCTTGAGGGGGGGTTCTGTCACGGTTTGGGTTCACGTCCTGTCTTATTTTGTAGTTTTCTGCCACTCGTATCCCTGGGTAACTTCACTTCCTGTCATCCCCTGTGATTGTCTCATAGTTTCCACCTGTGTCCAATCTCCTGCACCTCCCTAGTGTATTTAAGCCGTGTTTCACTTTTTGTGCCATTCTTAACTGTTTGGAAGTCCTGTTTTTGCCTCATGCCTACTTTTTGGCCTTTTGATTTTGAAAACCTTTTTTGACTATTAAAGTCCCTTTTTGTTGCTTGAAAAAAGTTGCGTTTGAGTCCTGCCTTTGTCCCCACGCAACTCCCTGACAATTTTAAAAAGTGGTTTGATAGAAGATAGGACATTCTCTTGCTTCTTCAAACACAACAACCATCCGTGGGTTCCCTTATGCTTCAAAAGTGAAACATACAGGTGATGAAAAACATGCAAATTTCAAAGAAACGACTTTGCTCAGATTCAGATAATTATTCTAGTGCCAAGTATTGAGCGGTTTAAGATGGAAAACTGAACATAAGGAGGTGAACGCTTAAACACCAGCGTGTTTAACCCATGTAAAACTTACCGAAATATCGAAATGAGGATATTCATCATCTCGTCGGGCGTTTCGTGCCACATGGTCGCGCAGAGGAAGACTTTTACCGGGTCTAGTGATTTGAATCTGAAAGGACAAGATTTGCATTACTGGCATTAATTCTGTCCCTTTCGTCCTTCACACGTCTCTGGGTTTCTGTTTTATAGAAGAAGATGCGGTCAACTGGATTCGTTTGCATTGTGAATGTTTCCAGAGATCTTCTTTGTTCAGAAATGAAATGGAAATGATTCTATTGTGTAACATCCTCGTCTTGTTTGAAACAACATGTTGATGTGCAGAAGTTGTCCTTGTTAGACAATGTGAATCCAGTTTTGACACGTTGTTTGTCACCTTTTAATTGTCTACTAATTCATTCTTAGGATTGTCATGCTCATTGGTTGATTGTGGGATAAACAGTAATTACGCAGCTTCTTTTGCTTTAGCCTTTGTGTGAAGGCCCGGGCCACTCCTATGAAATAATTGGCCCTCAAATATGTGATTATAGATTTCAAATAAAAGATGAGGACCTAGAGGAGAAAGACAAAACAACTGACTAACCTTTTGTTTTTCACGCTATTTTATTTTAGGATAATGTGTTGCGCAGCAGAAAGGAATGTTTGGACTTAAAGAACCGAACGTTTATTAAAGGAAAGGGGAGGAGTAGATCATCCACAACAATTCCTGTCTCAAACTAGCCACAAGAACCCTTATCACACCTTCTAAACCCTTAAAGGCCCCCAGGCCCCCTGACATCACAAACACACACACTTACTGCTTTTGCTTTTCCGTCGTCTGGATGTCAAATCGAGTGTTCAGAAGCAGGGACTGCTCTATGAATGCTCCCTCGTAGAGCCTCCTGACGAACAGGTCCTGAGTCCTCTGGATGCGAAACAGACTGAGGAACCAGAGGTGCAGAGTGGCCAAAACCAGGCCGATGCACCAGCACGCCGCCGAGCCTGAGGAGCGGGAAAAGAATTGAAGTGGAATCGGTACAACTTGTCAAACAAAATATACATAAAAATGCTGCCTGAACAGATGGTGCATCTCTAGATTATTACCTGTCAGCAGGCCGATGTCATATATCCTGGACAAGTCCAGGAAGCACAGAGTGTGAGTGACGTCCCAAACCAGATCTGGGAACACGTTGCCGCTCAGACTTTGGTTTCTTGCATCCACAACGTCGTTGCAGTAGCCTCTGAAGTTGGAACTTTGAATCCTGTTCAGACTGTTTCTGTAGTTTTGATGGAAAACGATAACGGGGACGACGAAGAGGACCATGACGGCCAGAGACGCCAGGTACAAAGGCAGGATGAAGCATCGTCGCATGGCGTGCATCTTGCAGGCCACCAAGGAAAACCAGTGGCAGAGTGCGGAGGAGATCAGCTGGACTCCGATGATGATGCCTATAATCCTTGTCTCACGGCTCGGGATGGAGGTGACGATGGCCCAGTCCATTTTGTCCAGAGGGACGTAGGCTCCGAGCACGCCGGCGGTCACCGCGATCCTGACCAAGCTGGAGAGGATGTGCACAACGTTCTGGCACTCTTTCACGTCTCTGCTCAACGCTGTGAGGAAGTCGGAGCGGCTGTTCTCGCTGATCAGCTTGAAGTAGTTCTCCCACCAGTTGAAGGACACTAAGAAGGACGCTCCGACTGCCAGACCCGCCCAGATGTTCCTCCGGGTGTCAGTGGGATCCTTTGTGATGTACAAGAGGAGGAACAGCACGTAGCCGAGCAAAATGAGGAGGAAGGCGGTGATGGACGGCACCAGGAAGCGGTTCCTTTGCTTGGCGGTGCACTGCGTGATCACCTGCAGGAGCGTGGAGAGCACGGCTACGCCGTTCAGTATCGTCACGTTGGTCACTATGTCCAGGTGGGGCATTGCCACAATGGTGAGAATCGCTGCACCCATAGCCACCAGGAACTCAAAGAACAGAACCTGAAGAAGCAGAACAATTAATTGTTGCACATTTTCTTTTTTAAAGGAGGGTTTCGGCTATAAATCCGACATTATTAGCATCCGTTTAGCTTTGACACGGCCGAAACATCTTGTATTGAATTGTCCCTGACACGTGCAGAATGTGCATGCTTCTCACCAAAGCCACAGTTCTTTTGTCCGGCATCTTTGAGGATTTGTGACACGCCTTCCAGACGCTCTTCAGGAGGAGAAGCAAGCTGGAGGCGATGAGAACGCAGCCGATGCAGAGCAGGGCGACTGGTTTCTGTCCATCGGGGAGAGTCTTGGTGCCCTCGTTAGACAAAGTGACGAGGAGGAGGAACGACGTCTGGAACAGAGAGATCGAAAGTCAAAGCTCAAAGATGAGAAGTTATAATTAAGCTCTTATAAAAGGAACAAAAGGAAACATTTTTGTATTTGAACCGCTTTCACATTACAATTCCGCTCCGATTCCTCGAGCTCAGCAGATTCATTCTTGTAACAAGTTGTGTGGAACGAACCTTGCTACACAGAGCCAGTCCGAACACCAACACGGCCACCACACAGAGGGAGAGGACCTTCAGCAGCTTGAGCATCTTCCATGGCGTCCGCTCATCCTCCAGGGGGGGGACCTCTCGGCAGGCGTCCCACGACCTCCTGAACAAACAAAGCCGGAGGGAAACTTTGAACGTTGAACTAAACGCTTGGTTCTGCGTGTTTGCGGGAAATCGTTTTTTTTCTATCTCCAGGTAAAAATGTAGTACATTTTAATTAAATTAATTACACATCGTTTTTTTTTAAATTTAATGTTCAAACCTGGATGACAAAAACTACGTTGTTGCATTAAGTTCAAAGTGATACATTTTAGAAGCACAAATGTAACAGAATAAAATGATCAATCGACTGCATCAAACCCCCAAAAACCATGAAATGGAGCTTTGACGTTACCTAATTTACTCACAATCGCTGTTTGGTTTTACCACAAGTATAAAACAAAGGGGTCTGGAGGTGTTGATTCCAAATTCTTTTAAAATACCTTTAAACTTTCCTCCATTCTGGATAAACTGAAGCGCCAGTAGTGCTCCTGTGTTTTCTGTATTGCCTTCAGGTATTTATTCCGCTGTAGATCAACTTCTTTTATACAATGTCACACCTGTTGGGTCACGGAGTAGTGATGCACTCTTCCCTCTTTTGGGTCCTTAACTATTTTAGATACGCATAAGGAACCTAATCCTGTAAACAATGTGTTTCAGATGGATTTCAAATCATGGTCAAAATATTTCCCACATATCAGTGTCCTCTGAGAAGTGAAAAATAAAGTTTTGATCATTTGAGAATTAAATATTGGTTGGGACGATTATTCCCTGCGGTATTAGTACCACAAAGTACAAAAACAAAAAAAGCCTCTAAAATAACAGTTTGAATCGTGAATATGTTTTGTATGAATACAAATTTCACAATCTCCTTTTGAATTATAGAAGAAAATGATATTAAGAAAATCCAATAAATAAAGCGTTTCCCCCAAATTTTCATGCAGTCAGTTCAGAATTGTTCTCAAATTATCTAGTTGACTTTTCATATTTCAAACAAGTAAGCAAATAAAATATTACCAATCAAATGAATTCAAAAGTTTTCATTAAAGAGTCTTTACTCACTTGGATGAAGTCCTTTTGTCCTCCATGCTTCTGACGAATGTGAAGCCTCCGCTTGAGAGTTGTTTTATGACAACCTTTGAAAAACACGGTGTTCAATCACCACACCGGTAAACCATGACATCACAGCTGGAGGCAGAGCTTCCGGTTATCTCGCATTCAGAACGTGATGAATAACAGACAGTCCTGAACTTCAGGCTTTGTTTAACGTGGAAGGATTAAGCTCCATGGCTGAGTCACAATATAATTACATGTTTTATACAGGGAGGGTAAGCAAAGGAAAGGCCCCAAGCAGATGTGACTTTAAATAGTTACAGAAGATCTGCCAAATTCAATATCAAGGTTGAAAACGTCCCCTGACCTCCCTTCCTTCTTCTCCTGTTGTTATCATTTGTATTCTTGTCTCTTTTGATGTAGCTTTTGTTGAGTGAATCCACCTTTTAAAGTGGGTTTTTTTCAGGCTGCAGAACTTTGTATGTGGGATCTTGCCAAATAACAAACGGAGGACTTTCACCCAGAAAGCTGCTGTTCGTGTCCCATTCGTGCGTAAACTAGCTTATGTAATGTACATTACCTACACACGGAACAAATAGACTTACTTCCCCCCAAATATGATCCTTTGCAACCTGAATAAGTTGTGTAAGCTAACCTGGGAATTGGGTATCTTGGTTCCAGCGTCAACCACCAGTTTAAAGCGCAGCTTCAGGTCGACCTACTTGTATTGTGTAGGAATCTCCTGAGATCACCTCAGAGACTCACGACGTAGGACACCAAACCCTCTGTAGATGATCCCACTAATATTTATAGAGGTACTGAACGTGATACGCCTAAAAAGGAAGTTTTACGCAGTATATTTTAGGGTTTTACGTACTTTAAAACATTTAAAAACAAAAAAAAATATATATTATCAAACTAAGACAAAATAAAACCCCAAATTACACACATTACTTACTAGTTTACATTACTAGTTTAGGTATATATAAATATATGCTTAAGAATAAATCAAGGTTGCTTCATACAATTTGCATTCGTCACAAATCGTTCTCATATTTTTATGAAGCAGTGTAGGTTTGTTGTGTAAGGTTTGTTAACGTCAACGACAAATAACTGAAATGCATTAATCATCGTTCACATTGTGCACCGCAGATATAAACGGGGCACGGCCTTTATACGTGACTGTATCAGTGGTTTAGCAGGTTTGTCAGGATGCCCGTGCAAGGTAACATTGTTTTATGTGAAGGAACTTTTTGCTAAACTTTTGAACAGTCTGTATACATGCGACATCCTCTGTCCCAAAACCCTCACGGCACAGGAAAAACTCCCCAAAAAGGGAAGAAACTTCAGTGAGAACGTCAGAGGAGGATCCGTCTCCTGATGGACAGACTACAATGATGTCATGAGGACACAATGAACAATGTAAAATATGAACAATACATTTAATTGATGACAGAAATGATTCAAATAACAGCGAGTATAAGGAGGTGTACAACAGGACCACTGCAGGGAGAACCACCATCACATAGAACCACCATAACATAGAACCACCATCACATAGAACCACCATCAGACAGAACCACCATCAGACAGGACCACCATCACAT